GTCATAAAATACTCTTAGTTGTTGTTTCTTAATTTTCAGTTGTTCAAGGATATCTTTATAATGTACATTATTGTTGATTGATAGTAAATTCTCTTCCAAGTCTTCAATTTCTTTTTCTAGTTTTTTTTATTTTTTCCTTCCTTTCCCTTGCCTTTTTCTTTGAAAATTTAGTTGTAAACCTGCGTATTTCCATTTTGATATAGTCCCATAATACTCTCTTGTCTTTTATCTCAGATAACATTTTGTTCTTTAAAGTCTGTATTTCTTCCTTCATCTTTAAAACATAGTCTCTATCATTTACCAAGCTATTATTGAACTTCCAATAACCCCTTTTACCCTGAAATTGTCCAGACGTTCTATCATGCAGAACCAAATTAACAGCTGAATGGTCGGGTGCTAAGGAGGGAATAATGTCACATTTGGATGTTATCTGTTCTAAATTCTCTGATATAATGAAATAATCCAAACGGCTTTGCATAAATGGATTCCCTTGTCTATAAGTATATTGTTTTTTTTCTTTATTTTTATTTCTCCATACATCTCTTAATTTAAATTCATCCATGAATTCTTCTAATTTGCTACTGAATTTTGATTGCTTCTTTGTAACTTGTCCAAAATAATCTAAGTTCTTGTCTCTAATAACATTAAAATCACCTCCAAGAACTACTGGGTTCCCTTCTGAATTGTTTCTATACAACAACTCCCATAAATCCATTAAACATTTTATTTGCTCCCCTTCGTTATTTCCAGTAGGGAAATAAACATTTCCTAGCAACATCTTCTGACCTTGTATATTACATCTAATCAATAAATATCTTCCATTTATGTCTGCACAAGTGTCACTAATTTCAATGTCTAACTTACTATTTATTAATACCAAAACTCCTCTACTGTGGCTTGTATCATGTCTAAAGATACATTTCCCGCCCCACTCCAATTGCCATTTCTTTGTCCTAAACCAATTAAACATTTTTTCTCGTTTGCTTCTATCTCTAATTCCCCTCACGTTTAGTGTGAGATAGTTACATGAAAACAAGTTCCCTTTATTATCCATCTTTTTTGTTGTTGAAATAAACCCTTATCTACATATGAGCTGGGACCCTCTATAAATTCCGACCTTGCAGATAAAGGGATCATCTCTTGGCAAATTAATATTTTTAATGAAACAACTTCACGACCCTCTCCCCTACCAGAAAGGAAACTAAGAAAGAAAAAGAATATGTATAAATACATGAGACTACTACAAATATTCGAGAACCCACATTTGAAAAACAAAAAAAGAAAAGGAAAGAAAAGGAAAAGAACACAAGGAAACATAAGATGACAACATGAAACAGACAAATAACAGAGTTCGCGTGGCGAATCATACATAATGATTAGCCAGACTGCCTTTGCAAACGTTGCATGGCAGTCCCCTCCCCCCTCTCCCCTCTCCCCTAATTTAGCTTTCCTACTTATTTGTCATACAGCCTGCAATTGAAAATTATGCACTGTCTGACCTTTGTTTCTACATTTCCTTGTTAAAAAAAAAACAAAACAAATATCTTCCTGCAAATCTACTACATCATGGTCTTTTTCCATGTAAAGGTTAATCAAACAAAAAGAAAAAAAGGATAAACCACCTTCTATGCTATCTCCATCTCAATTCAAAACTTTTCTATCCTGCCTTCATTGTATAACGCTTACAATTCAAGACTATGCCATATCTCCCCTTCTTTCTACCTCAACAGTTCTCAAAACAAATACCTTACTACAGATCGACTGCATTGTAATTCATTAACATTTGGATTAAAGGTAAAGACCAGTAATGGTCATGCGATTGCATTGTGAAAGAAACGTTGTGGAATCAATCAGAAAAGGTCGATCATCTAGCATCTAGCATCTGCAAGGTTCTGGAATCATCAAAATGATAAGAAATTTGGCTCATTCTTCGTAAAGTTACAAGCACTATACACAGAAAGATGTATATGGGACTACCCTATCTCTCTCACCAGACCATGAGAGAAATAAATTTACCAAATATATGAATTAGTAGGCGGTTTCCCGGCAAATTTTTTATCATCATGTATTAGTCAAAACATATTCTTTCACATGATTGGTAATGAGAGCTTCCATTTCATTTTTTGAAATTGGGGCGTTGCCAATACTGGTCTTTACCTTTAAGGTAGTGTTCTGAAACTGCTGCAAGTAAAATTGCATTGAGAAACTACTTCTCTTTTAACATTTGCAGCAACACAGCAAAAAAACAAACAAAAAAAAACAAAAACAAAATCACTACATCAATAAATATTCCTTCAAATTGCTTCTACAGTATAAATACATTTCCTCTGTGCTGTCTCCATCTCAATTCAACACTATTCTCTCTTGCCTTCATTGTACATACAGCTTGTCATTTCAAACTACCGTGTGCCATATCTCCCTACTTGTACATTCCAGTTAATAAAACCAATGACTTCCTGCATATCAACTGCGATTACATCAATGGTCTTTTTCATATAGGAGTACAACAATAGAAGGGTTAAAACCCCCATGTATAAATTATCATATGTCCAACCCAGCATCTTCCCTCCATTATTATGCCTTTTATCTACTAACCAAAGTACATGTTCCATCTTCCTTTCTGTCAATCTTCTGTCATTAATACTTGGATTAAGACTGTACTCTGAAACTAACCTAAACAAATTTGCATGAAGAAATCCCTTCTCTTTCATATTTGTAATAACATATAAAGAATTCATACTCTCTACCTTTCTTTTTCTGTGCAAGAAACATTTCCACTCTCAACTTTACAGAAGGAATAATCTACTTATAATATTTCTTCAAAATAGCTCCTCTATTACATTTCCTCTGTGCTATCTCAATCTCCATTCAAAACTTTTCTATCCTGCCTTCATTGTATAACGCTTGCAATTCAAGACTATGCCATATCCCACCCTTCTTTCTACATTCAACAGTTCACAAAAGAATTACCTTACTACAGATCGACTGCATTGTAACTCATTAACATTTGGATTTAGGCAGTGTTCTGAAACTGCTGTAAGTAAAATTGCTTCGAGAAACTGCTTCTCTTTTAACATTTGTAACAACACAGCAAAAAAAAAAAAAAAAAAAAAAAAAAAAAAAAAAAAAAAAAACCTTCAACAGTTCTCAAAACAAATACCTTACTACAGTCGTACAGATCGACTACATTGTAACTCATTAACATTTGGATTAAGGTAGTGTTCCGAAACTGCTGCAAGTAAAATTGCTTCCAGAAACTACTTCTTTTTTAACATTTGCAACAACACAGCATAGCAAAAAAAAAAAAAAAAAAAAAAAAGCTTCATTGTACATACAGCTTGCCATTTCAAACTATCGTATGCCATATCTTACCTCCTTGTACATTCCAGTTAATAAAACCAATAACTTCCTGCATATCAACTGCGATTACCTCAATGGTCTTTTTCATGTAGGAGTACAACAATAGAAGGGTTAAAACCCCCATGTATAAATTATCGTATGTCCAACCCAGCATCTTCCCTCCATTATAATGCCTTTTTATCTACTAACCAAAGTACATGTTCCATCTTCCTTTCTGTCAATCTTCTGTCATTAACACTTGGATTAAGACTGTACTCTGAAACTAACCTAAACAAATTTGCATGAAGAAATCCCTTCTCTTTCATATTTGTAATAACAGATAAAGAATTAATACTCTCTACCTCTCCTTTTCTGTACAAGAAACTTCTCCACCCTCAACTTTACTGAAGGAAATAATCTACATATAATATTTCTTCAAAATAGCTCCTCTATTACATTTCCTCTGTGCCGCTATCTCAATCTCCATTCAAAACTTTTCTATCCTGCCTTCATTGTATAACTCTTGCAATTCAAGACTATGCCATTATTGACATATCTCACTCTTCTTTCTTCATTCAGCAGTTCTCAAAACACATACCTTACTACAGATCGACTGCATTGTAACTCATTAACATTTGGATTAAGGCAGTGTTCTGAAACTGCTGTAAGTAAAATTGAGAAACTACTTCTCTTTTAACATTTGCAACATCACAGCAAAAAAAAAAATATCACTTAATAATATTTCTTCCAAGTTGCTTCTACAGTGTAAATACATTTCCTCTGTGCTATCTCCATCTCAATTCAACACTATTCTCTCTTGCCTTCATTGTACATACAGTGTACAGCTTGCCATTTCTAACTACCGTGTGCCATATCTCACCTCGTTGTACATTCCAATGAGTTCCTGCATATTAAACTGCGATTGCATCGCGCCATGACAGTCATGTAGCGGTACAACAATAGAAGGGTTAAAACCCCCGTGTATAAATTATCATATGTCCAACCCAGCATCTTCCCACCATTATTATGCCTTTTTATCCACTAACCAAAGTACATGTTCCATCTTCCTTTCTGTCAATCTTCTGTCATTAACACTTGGATTAAGACTGTACTCTGAAACTAAACTGCCTTCATTGTATAACGCTTGCAATTCAAGACTATGCCATATCTCACTCTTCTTTCTACATTCAACAGTTCACAAAACAAATACCTTACTACATAGTACAGATCGACTGCATTGTAACTCATTCAACACTATTCTATCCTGCCTTGATTGTACATACTGCATGTCATCTTAAGTTCACAATACAAAACAGCCTACGGTAATAACAAAATTCCTTATCTCAATACAACCTGTTCTATTTGTACAGCTTGCATTTCCAACTATGCACAATCTCACCTCCTCCTACCTACCCCAGTTCACAAAACTCCTTTTCTTATATCATATGAATGGACCAGCAACCGGCAACCTTTCTTTAAGATGTCTTCAAGAATTCCAATAAAACATAATAAACAATAAGGGATAGAGCAACGTCGATCTGGCGCTGCTCGATCAGTGGCTGCCGGGCTCACGATCAATTGGGCAAAAAGAATTTCCGTTTCGGTTTAATAAAATTTGGAGTGGACTATTAGGCTATTATTATTATTATTATTAAAACAGATGCCATCCCCTTAAAAAGATTTGCTTTTGTTGTCAATCTAAGTATTATGCATATGATATGAACATTTTTAGCCTGTCCACTGTAATAGTCGAAATATGTCGTTTACAGGAATTTTATTCTCTCTCTCTCCCGGAGTCATTCGCATTTCTATCTTCATCATGCTTCCTGTTACTCTCAACATCTTGAACCTACTTTGAATTTCACTAGTTATAAAAGGAGGAGTTTCTGACACAGTGTCCGTATGCGTTATCGATATCAGTTTGGCTGCTAACTTTGGCTGCTAGCTTCCGCTTAGTATCCCTGCAGCAACACATCTACACCGCTATCAGTATCATGTCGGGAGGTAAAGTGTCAATGCTTGCAGGAAAAGTTGCTATCATCACAGGTATGCCACTACATTTAAAAAAAAAAAATTTGTGAAAATTAATGATGTTATGTGACCAGAACCTTTTGATGACTTCATATGCAATAAAAACTGGTACTAATGTGACTTTTTACGCTTTCGAAAAGCCCCTGCCGCAGAGGTAGATTACACCCTCAAACCAACCCATCTTGGCGGCCTAGCCTAGGGAATAACGCCGGTCACGTTAGCTCAGCTCAGCCAGTCCGCAACCGGTGCGATTATAAATAGATGTAGGTCTAGGCCTAGACCTAGATCTAGGCTATACGAAATGAGCAAAATGCACCCGTATAAAACTCAACGATTATTTTCATGTGATGGGACGTATGATATTATAATTCTCCTTTTGAAAGAAGAGAAGAAGATGCAAATTCTTTTCTGGGCGCTTGTTCAGAAACCTATCCAAAATTTTACCTGTAACTAGGGCGTGGAGATACCCTACTAAACCATACCAAAAATGAAGTAAATATTCATTAAATGTCCAAATAAAGATCATGAGTTAAAATTTGTTATGTTTATTACCTGTTTCGTGTCAATTTTCTTGTTATTTTTGGAGTATTTTTCGGATAAACGTTGATATTAGTAGATCTATAGACTACACTTTTTCACAGGTTTCACGGCAAACCGCTGCATAATAATTAATACAAGTGCATACCGATGGTGGGTTGAATTGCGGGCGGGCGCGCACCTGTGTGAAGTTATCTACCGTAATGTCTCAGATCCTCATTACATTAGATAACTTCACACAGGCCCGCACCCGGCGCCATCCACCATCCATCCACTTGGTACTACCCTGGATTGGATTTAAGTTCTTTGATCCATTTTTGTTGTACATACTGTACAGGGGCCAGCTCAGGAATAGGGGCAGCAACTAGCATCCTCTTTTCTCATCTCGGAGCGAGGCTGGTGCTTGCCGGTAGAAAGGAGGCCAATTTGATGAGGACGAAGGACTCTTGTATGCAGACAGGAAATGAAGAGGTACTAATGAAGAGTGGATGCGATTTTATTATTATTAAATGTAATATTACATATAATTTCATTTTACACACATTTTAATGATTTTGTTCAGGGTTTTGGCTTGAGTTGTTTCATGGTAATAATTCTTACTTCACGAATGAAGTGCTCATGTGTAGATCCGTCATCATGTACATGTATGATGCTCATGGCGGTATTGCCTTGGCAAATACAATATGCAACTTTCACTCAAACTGAGAACACACAAAACATAACAATCAAACATTTTTAATTTTCAGGTCAGTACACATTGAATACTAGTACCAAGTTAAGTGTAAATTAACAAGGTAAAAAGCAAAGGGGAATTGCAGTTTTTATGAACTTGTTCTGAGTAATTGCTTAAAGCTCATCTGCACTAGTTTGGCTAGGAGGGATAAGACCTCCCTACAGGGTCACTGACATGTGGTTATCCCATCAAATCAGCTCTCAGTTATAGAAAAAGGGGACCATGGGGGACAAATTGGCACCAATTAGGCATTGTCTGCTATATAGAGGGCTCAAGGGAAACCCAAGGGAAACAAAAAGTGGTCTTTGTAGACAGGTTCCTTAAGTACATGTTTCAATGAGAAACCATTTTCAAGGGAGACAACAAATGTGCTTGTTGTAGACAAATGTTCTTTGTAGACAAATGTTCTTTGTAGACAGGTGGTCACTAAAGCAGGTTTGACTGTACCTATAAGTACTGCGGTGGGGCTTTAAAAGAGCTACAAAATGTACATGTAGTTGATGAAGCCTGCCAAATAGAAAATGGATTGAATGTTCCAGTCCTGCTAGTCAAAAGGTTAATGAGTGTGTATTTCTTTTCTTGTTTGTTTCCTGTCTTGATTATTGAGGCTCTTACCGTCACAGGAGAGTTACGAGATGGCTCGTATAGAAAGCATCTTGTGGAGCAAGCGATGGAGGAGTACGGAAAGCTAGATATCTTGGTAAGATAATTACTTTTTTGAATAATTATTACTATTATTATTTATTTGACCAATCGGAAAACATACAGTGAGTATAACAATCAACAATCAGATAATACAACCAGATTTCATAATACATGCAAAAAAGTTTTAGGAAAGTAGAAAGGAGAGAGAGAAGGATACAATCTGCTGGTCAGGGGAGACAAAAGCAATTGAAATTACTATTACTCGAAAGCATGTCACCCCCACTCTATTTAGAGTACAGTATATTTAGCATAAAATTTGATAGATCTAAGGTACAATATTTGCTATTTGGCCATTTAATGTTTTCTTATGTTTTGTAATTTCCATTCGCAATTTGCTTCATTTGATGAACATTTTGATTTGTCTTGGACTACAGTATGTAAATGTGAAAAATGCAAATAATTGTTGCCTATTTGAGGTGACAGGGCAGATACATTATGACCTTCAAAAATTGTGAAGTGTCGTGGGTGACGTGAATACTTTTGGTGATTTGATCCATGTATTTGCTCCAGCAAGACTTGCTCTGGGCTTTATTTCTTCACACACATACCTGTAGGGTTAGGATCAGGTTTGCAATTGTGCTTTAGGTTAGCTTAATACATGTAGTTCAAGGTTAGGTATAACGTTGGGTCTGTGGTTGAAGTTAAGAATTTGATTAGTGTAAGAAAATAACATGCAGCAATAGACCGGTTTACTATCATGTTAAAATTTTATGCATAATTTTCAAACAAAGATTGTTCTTGACAACCTGAAAGCTTGCCTGATGCTTGCCCGACATGGCAACAAGTAATATATACCTAGAATGGATTCCAAGTATTATCATTCATTAATAACAGGTTAAATGAATAACTTGTCACTATATGTCCCCACTCCCCAGGGGGGTGTTTCGTAAAGCTGTTCGTACAGTTATGCATGACTTTACGAAAGACTTAAATATGAAAAGCCAAATAGGATGCTCAATTATTATTAATTGCATCCACTAAAAGTGAACTGTGCAGATGTAGATTAACATTCTTATTATAACAAACATTTGTAATGCAAAGTATATTTTTTTGCCATATTTAAATTGAGGTTATTAGAAATATAGACACACTTTGTTAAAACATCAGGAAAAACTTTGGGCATCCTATCTGGCACTTCATATACAAGTCGTTAGTAAAGTCATGCGTAACTTTACGAACAGCTTTATGAAACACCCCCCAGGAATGATACATCCATATATTTGAATACTGGTATGTTAGTAAATCTGTCTATTGTCAACCTAAAAACTCATTTTGACCTCTTATCTCCTTAGGTCAACAATGCTGGCGTCATATCTCTGGGATCAATAGAAAACAGCAGTTTGGAGGACTATGACACCATGATGGATGTCAATGTTCGGTATGTTTTCTATAGCCTCTACCCCGACAACAGACACACAAACAATTACAGAGGTTTGCACAAACACTAAGATCAACTTTAAAGGTTAAGACCAGTTATGGTCGTGCGATTGCATTGTGAAAGAAACGTCGTGGAATCGATCAGAAATGGTTGACCATCTAGCATATAAGTATTGGTTTGTACTGCAAGGTTCTGGAATCATCAAAATGATAAGAAATTTGGCCCAGTCTTGATGAAGTTACAAGCACTGTACACTGAAAGATGTATATGGGACTATCCCCACATGTGCGCGACACGTGCGTTGCATCTATCGGTCCAAATAGATATAATAATTTACCAAATATATCAATTAGTAGCCGGTTTCTCTGCAAAATTTGTATGATCACGTATTAGTCAAAAAATATTCTTTCACATGATTGGTAATAAGAGCTTCCATTTCATTTTTTGAGAGAGGGGCATTTCCAAAACTAGTCTTTACCTTTAATTTGGACTTAAATATCGCAGGCCATTCATTCCACTGTTTGCTCTCACCATCTACTGGCATTGGTCTCTGAAGGGATGTACAAATCGTGGTCACAAATCTAGAGAATTTACATTTTACATATATTATCTAAAGATCATAATGGTAAGAGCAAACAAAGGCACGAATGGCCAGTCATAGTTAAGTCCAACTTAAAGTTGATCTTAGTCTTTGTGAAACTCCCCCCAGTACTCTCAATAGCCATGAATCAGTAGTTGTGGAGTCTGTCTGGCGGCCTAATTCCCAGTTTGTCTAATGCCTATTTTGTGTACTATCCATATGGGTTGATAATCATTTAGGCATAAATAATAATCATCAAATGATTATAGAACTTTCTGGATGGTAGACAAAATGGGCATTAGGCTAACTGGGAATTAGACCGACTGGAAATTAGAACAAATGAGCAACAGACCAAAAGGTGAGAAGACTTATTGGAGATAAGACCAAATGGAAATTAGACCAAATGGCTATAAGCCTGAATGGTCATTAGATGTAATGAGACCATGTGGATAGTAGACTGGCAGAGTGTAGACCATATGGGAATAGACAAATGCGGTAATAGATGAACTGATTGTAGACCAAATACTATTCACCAGAAATATAAGCCTAGATTTAAGTGAAAACTAGTATCTCATTTCTGACTAGACTCTCAAAAACCACTGTAATGTTGTGCATGTGACAACAGAGTAAATGGTGATTTCTCTGAATAGAATGTTACCAATGTAATAGTCAAGTTGTTTGTACTGGAGTAAACATCACAGTGTTGTTACATAGCATAATATATATATATCTTGGAATCTCTAGTTTCAGAAAAATACATGGAAATATGAGTTCTGGAAATGTATGGTATGCTTTTAAGCATTACGTAATATTCTTTGGATTTGATTGCTGTGCAGTGTAAAACTACCATTTGATCTTAGAACTCTTCTGGGATTTGCTGTTGTGTAAAAGTGACATTTCTTATAACTGATATTCATGATTTATCAGATCTCTTTTTAAGTTTTCCAGATCTCTGTTTGGGCTTTCTAGATTGAGCTAAATTGATCACTGCTCCTTAGTATTATTTTAATTAGTTTTGCATTACAATAAAGCCAGCTGTAACTTTATCCCATTGGTTCAATAAATTTTTAAATGTAACATTTATGTGGCACTTAACAGTAATTTTTGTAAACACAATATTGTCTTTGCAGGTCTGTTTTCCATCTGACGTCATTAGCAGTACCACATCTCATTGAAACAAAAGGAAACATAGTCAATGTATCCAGTGTCAACGGCCTTCGAGCAGTAAGTTAATTGTAATGATAAAAACAATAATTAGATCAATGTTTATAGCGCAGCTACTGTTTTATAAATACACTGTGATGAAAACAAAACTTCTAACAGTACTACTTTACAGAAACACAATTAATAAATAACTATTTGAGAGCTCCTGAAGGTAAATGGGTACCCGATAGGAAAAAAAAAAATCCTTGAATGCTTGATCATCTTTTCATGATAGCTCGGCTAAAGCAGGGTTGATGAGATAGTTGCAGGGCCGGCCCTCAGGGAGGAGAGTGCTTATACTGGTGAGGCTACCCTGGGTAAACAAGAAATATTGCTATCATTATCATTACGGTATTATAGATAGGGAAGCACACCATCCCTATCTCATTTTTACTTTGTTGGGGCACTTTTAAAAGCTCTATACTGCTTCACCACTGAATGGACCATGAGTGTGGTTGATGTTCAACCAGAGGGTCAAAAATTGAAATATTAGGTGGCGCAAATAGGAAACCAACTCTTTGATAATTTATTCAGATTTAATTCATTGAAAAGAGCATTTTCTTGATAAATCTGGTGATCCTTTTCATTTGTTTATTTTTTGTCTCAGTTTGCAGGAGTTTTGAGTTATTGTATGTCTAAGGCTGCTTTGGATCACTTCACAAGGTGTACTGCACTGGGTGAGTACATTTACATGTAGATAAACAAAAACAATATACTTCAAGATGATGGTAAACTTTACTTACACGATCAAATGAATATTGTCATAGTGCTTGTTGTCTTTTGAATTGCATATCTACCCTCTCTCTATCTCTTCCTCTTCTGCCCCCTCCTCTAAATGCTCTCTCTCTCTCTATACCTCTCTCTTCTCTCACCCATTTCTAACTATTATCTCCATTCTCCCTCTTTCTGTCAGTTTGTCTCTGTCCAATTTCTCTGTACCTGTCTGTCTGTCCCTGTCTCTTAGTCTATCTGTCTCTCTCACTGTCTCCTTCTTTCAATCACTCTTGTTCCATTGTATTTCCTTCGACATTTCCCTCCTTTCACTATATATTCTTATCTATGGCCCAATAATCCCTCTAGTTTGCAATGCAGTTGACTTTCACACATCCAATCCTTCTTGCAAACAGAATAAAAAGGCTGTACACTACCTTGAAGATGATGTTGTCAATTACTAGACTAGGACCAGTCCATTACGAGGATTCATCAATAACTAGACTAGGACCAGTCCATTACGAGGACTCATCAATTACTAGACTAGGACCAGTCCATTACGAGGACTCATCAATTACTAGACTAGGACCAGTCCATTACGAGGACTCATCAATTACTAGACTTGGACCAGTCCATTATGAGGACTCATCAATTACTAGACTAGGACCAGTCCATTACAAGGACTCATCAATTACTAGACTAGGACCAGTCCATTACGAGGACTCATCAATTACTAGACTAGGACCAGTCCATTATGAGGACTCATCAATTACTAGACTAAGACCAGTCCATTACGAGGACTCATCAATTACTAGACTAGGACCAGTCCATTACGAGGACTCATCAATTACTAGACTAGGACCAGTCCATTATGAGGACTCATCAATTACTAGACTAGGACCAGTCCATTACGAGGACTCATCAATTACTAGACTAGGACCAGTCCATTACGAGGACTCATCAATTACTAGACTAGGACCAGTCCATTACGAGGACTCATCAACTACTAGGACTGGTCAACACTTGGGATGCAATTGTAACTTCAAACTTGAAATAAAATGAACTATTTCTCTCAAAGCAGTCATTAATACTATAATGTAACTAAATGTTTTTCACTTTCCATGTTACAGAGCTGGCTCCCAAAGGAGTGAGGGTGAATTCTGTGAAGTAAGTATCTTAAACTTTGTCATTAAAACGGTGAAACATAATTGTTATAAATGCAGCAAGGAGCAAAATTATTACCTCTAGCTTTTGTTTTGCTTTGATGGCTTTCTTCTATTGGTCAAATCTATTGTTGCAATAAAGATATACTTATACTGTCTACCTCAATCTGAATGGGATTGGCATTAGATATAGTCTATGGGTAATGTATTTTGTACACGTCCAGAAGAATTGCTTTAAGTGACTCTGTAACATTGAATCAGATTCTGAAACAAATCCCTGGATTTAGCTCATGCTGCAATCATAATTATAAACCTTTAGGTCAGTCAGGCACCCCATGACTTTTACAAGCCAATCCCCTGTCTGATTATCAAGATATTTTTTATTGGAAATCGAAATTTAAAAATTTGTTTTCCTAACGGTTTTTATAACACTAAAGTCTATTGGAGAAAATGAGTATGGTAAAACCGGTCACTCAAAGATTTTTACTCTTTTGATGCACTTCACGATCATTTTATAGCGCAATTTGTTTAGGGCTTCAATATTACACCATATCACAGACACTGATAACACGTAGGGCCATGCATCTAAGATTTACATTGTTAAACGATGCCTTTAAAGATACTTTTGCACTTGACATATGGGACTGTTCTCCAGATTTATACATTATGACCATAGTGCCAATGGAGGAATTCCCTATACCTACTATATCTTCCAAAAATATAAACTTCTTTACCGGTACGCTTTTTTCTCCCCAGCTATTTCTTCTTCTAGTAAAAGTCATTTCCTAGGAAAGGTAACTTCCCTTTAAAGTATGATACAGGTGTATTTATGTAAACAAACAATTCTAGAATATTTGTAGATGGTAAAGCATTCTGCATATATATATGAAACATTTTTTTCTTCTTCATATCTGTAGCCCTGGCGTAACAATAACCGAGTTGCAGAAGAGAGGGGGCCTGAGTGATGAGGCTTATGCAAATGTAAGTGAACAAAAAAAATTGAATTTAATTTTTGTTTTAAACCACACTAAAAAATAGTTAATCATGTATTATTCAACTGTTCAATATATTAGTCAACTTTTTTTTTCCTCTTTAATAAAATCATCTTTATTCAATATTGCTTTCGACTTTGCAAAACATATCAGAACATATACCATGTGTATACATAATATAACCAATAGAATCAACAACAAGAATATAGCTGATTATATACAGGACATTTTTTTTTTTTTTTTAAAGCAACAAAATGTTTTTCCACCTATTATCAAATAATACAAATTTGTTATTTTTAACATAAATGTATTGTTCAAGAGAACAATATTACCTTAACATGCATTTAAAAGAATTTAGTGATAGTACGCTATTTTAGATTTGTTAGAAAATATAGAGTATTTGGGATATAAGATAATAAAATTAAATTGAACTCTAACATTTCCATAAAATCCAAATAAGAAACTAATTTTATTAAAAGTAACTTTATCCTCTAAAATGAAATGTTGGACATCCGTCCAACATTTCAAACATAGTCAACATTTTTACCAATTCTTTTCATTATGTCACTTTAATTTTGAGTGTCATCTTTATCTTATGCAATTCAGCTTATAGCTATGATACACATTGTCTAATAAACTGATTTTTAATTGAAATGAATTTTATTTTTATAAAGCAATTCCATATAAAAAAATAAAATAAAAATAAAACACTTGTAAATTATTTTCTATCATCAAATGAAGTTTTTGGAGAGAAGTAAGATGACACATGCCCTTGGTCGACCAGGAGAAGCCAGTGAAATAGCAGAGAGCATTGCCTTCCTTGCCTCGGATGCGTCTTCATTCATAACGGGAGCCACCTTACCAGTAGATGGCGGCAGGCATGCTATGTGCCCAAGATAAGATCTAGCGTGATAGGCGGGTGGGTGCAAGGGGAATGGTTTCAAGTAATTTAATCAGAATTAGAAAGGCATTAACACCATTTTTGGATATGGAAATGTATTAATACCACCTTTCTCTAGTTCGTACTTGACCTCTTGACCTCTTGAAATTGAATGCAAGGTGTATCAGTACCGGTATGTGATTGGTTGAAATCAAGTTGCATTGAATTCGAGTTGGGTTTATGCACAGGATGCCAGCTGTTCTCTTTTATGTGGATATATTTAAAGACTTCTTTTTATTGAAGCATATTGTGACATCATGGGCTAATGATTGCAGGGCATATTATCCGATTGATTTTAACAAGAAAGAAAATGGTGAAATGTCGACAACTCTGATAATGCCCTCTTAGTACTGTTAATATGGACTTTAAGATTTACACGACGAGAACGTGCACCGCCACGTGTCACATCCTTTTAAGGTAATGTGACATCCTTTTAAGGCACTGCCGGGCACGGCCCAGTGCCTTAACACAATGCCACACGCGGCAGTCCACGCTCTCTTCATGTAAATCTAAAAGTCCCTAATATTATTTGACTACTATTCTACATGTACTACTAATCATAGGAACTTTACCCATTCTGGTTCTCAATGAAAGAAATCATTTGATGGTGCAAGCTGCTAACATGTGATGTATTCAGTGCTAATGAGGTTCCAATGCAGCTGCTTTCTTAGAGACTTCAATGCTTTAAAAAATACACTATTCCTTCAAGCCTAATAATAAGATCAAGATTTTTCCTTTGTTAATATTGGCCATAACCTATCAACGTAGATTGAATTTAGGATGGTGTGCTACTCATCATAGCAAGAGATTTCTTAAAGGGCTGGATTCTCAAGCCTTTCTTCTTCAAATTGGCAATCCATTGTTGTTGGTGTTGTTGTTTATTTCAACACTTTTTCAATAAGAAATCACGTAAATGCATGTGAGAAGGATATACACTGACAGAAATGATATCATGAGGCTGAAAATTTGCCAGTTTGAATGGGTGATCTGTATTTTTAACTTTTGAATGTGTTGCTCATTCAGATGCCTACTTATCCTCGTTAATTGTTAGATTAGTAGTTAATAGTTTTTAAACAAGCCAACCAAAAAAGGTCCTTTTTTTAATATATTCCAAATATGCCTTAAAGATGAAGTTGAGTTCTGGTCATGCGATTGCATTGTGAAAGAAACGGTGTGGAATCGACCAGAAAAGGTTGATCATCTAGCATATAAGAATTTGTGTGTATTGCAAGGTTCTGGAATCATCAAAATGATAAAAAATTTGGCCAGGTCTTGGTAAAGTTACAAACACTGTACACAGAAAGATGTATATGGGACTACACGAACACGTGGCGTAATAATCTATCTCTGGATTTGTACGATGTTACATGACAGATTTAGAATATGAAGGCATTTGAAGAGCCATGCTTTTCAGGGAACATGTCTTATCTAATGTTCTTCCACACTTGCATAATAAGAATAATAACGTTCACAAATTATTTTTCACCTCTTCCCAGAACTCAACCTTCTCTTTAAAAAAAGTAGGATATTCTACTGACACTACAGGTACTTCAGATTAACATTTACTGCCATCTGCTGCTTACAGTGTCCCTAATGCATCACCAACTGCATGACGCATGTGATGATACTTGGGTGCAGGAACTGGAAAACGCTCTATGTACGATTTCACAGAAACGTTACAGCACTGGTAGCGATGCCAGTGAATACCCTGCCTGTAGGTGGGGGGGGGGGGGATGTGTTGGAGGTATAACAGGAAAGAGGATGTCACCCCCACCCCTCCCCCTCTCTCTCTCTTACCAAATCTCATGCATGTTTTCTTTAAGAAAACTAAAATTAAACGACATCAGATAACTAACCGGTGTCCTGAATGTCAGTGATATAGTTTTTAGATTGGATCAATTTGATTATCACCTGTTTGAACAGAATAATCAAAGTTGGTCATTTCCTGCTATTCATTCTGAAAGTCTTATCTTTGTAAATGGGAAGTAAAACATCCTTTTATCTTTCCAGTAGCTAGTTTTATTCATTGAAATTGTACATACATGTACTTAATTCATCATGTATTATGCTATTAAAAATCTGTAATACTTGCAATGTTTAATCTTGTCTAATCATGTTTAGTACAATAGATCTATTTTGATTAAAGTACAATATGTGATAAAGTAGCAATGATTTTGTATGACCATTTTGTTGACTTATCAGTTTGCATGAATTTATCATTATAGCATGTTATGGCTACCACACATCTTAAAGCCCCACTACACACACTTATAGCTACTTGCCCCCTCTATATAGCAAAAAATGCCTAATTGGTGACCAGTGGTCCCCCATGGTCCCTTTTTTCTTATGTTAGTTGATGTCCTAACCACCTGTCAGTGACCATGCAGGGAGGTCTAATCCCTCCTGGCCAAACTAGTGCGTTAGGGCTTGAAGACCCAAATGCAACTTGATTATTGAAGAAATTTCAAATAGGATTAGATTTTCAATTTCAATTTTGTTTAGATAGCTTATGCCTGGACTCATATTACTATTAATATCACAATCACAAGGCATTTCGAGCCTTCTAGTCGGTGCAAAGCCAAACGGCTGGAAAGTTCCATCTAGATATAAGATGCATAATAGTCTGCTTAAACTAGCATGCTGTTCCGAGAGAGATATTCCTGTGATCTATCAGGAACTTGGTTTAAACTTTATGTTGTTAGAACTATGTATCTACCAGTAATCCTCTTGCAATATCTTTCAGAATCAAGTCATAATCTAATTGAAAGGTGTGGTGGCCCCTGTGGGTGAAACGGTGAAAAGATGAAGAAAAACAAATTGGCTTGAAATATTAAAGCTATTTGCACTAGTTTGGCTAGAAGGGATTATACCTTCCTGCATGGACACTGACCGGTGGTTATCTCATCAAATCAGCTCTCAAATAACATAAGAAAAAGAGGATCATGGGGGACCAACTGCTTAGGAATTGTTTGCTATATAGAGGGCGCAAGTAGCTATAAGTAGTACAGTGGGGATTTAAAGGCCGGCTGTACTAGTTTGGCCAGGAGGGATTAGACCACGCAGCGTGGTCAATGACGGGTGGATATCTCATTTACTCAGCTCTCAAATAACATAAGATAAAGAGTATCATGGGGAACCAATGGTCACCGATTAGACATTGCTTTCTATATAGAGGGCGCGAGTAGCTACAAGTAGGACAGTTGGGCTTAAAGTATAGTGGTAAAATATAAGATAAAGAATTATAATATATTAATATTTAAAGTAAAAATCTTGACAGCATATGCCTGTTTTCTCCCAATGAAAATGATGTTTGGATGTTAGCATTTTTATTGAAGGAGTTAAATTGGCAACATAATATTTTGTTTAAAGCAGTATATTTCTACAAAGAAATGTATATTTCCATTTGTGATGATTTAAAACAAAAACGATGAAGATCGGTAGTAAAACAAAAATAACATTGTTTTCAATTTTAAAGAAGACGACTGTTCCGGCCCTTAGAAATGTCCAATCCTTGGTCAAAAGAGAACTTTTCGGCCATTTGCTCTACGATATTTATACTTGCATGATTTACATACAAAGTCAGCGTATGAAAAAAGAGGAAGGGAATATTTTACACATCTTCTCTGTTTCCGATTTATTATGTTTCTCAGTGGTTCAGAATTTTCTTGCGTCATGTGATGGTAGTTTAGCGACGGCTTGTACATGATCATTTGAATCCCTGAACCTGTTATAACAAATAAATGAAACATGAAGTGTTTATTTCGAAGCAGTATTTTGAATGCGCACCTGTTACACTGCCCGATGATAATACATAGACTACATTATGATATTAATCGTTAACAAAATCATGTCACTCGTGCCCGACGACATTGTAACATACTTTTGACGGGGATGAATTAAATGAATGATACGCGTTTATCTGGACATATTCAGATTTCCTAATAATTTACGGATTTTTATTGTTTTGCAAAGACTCACTGGCACATGGTTTCAATCGATGCAAGTCATTCCCCTAAGAAGCTTTATATGACCATATTTTAGTAATTTCATACAATGTTTTAAAAAGGGCTCAAAAGTATAGACCAGTTTTCGAAAGGCCCCCCTCTCAAAAATGAAATGAAAGCTCTTATGACTACCAATCATGTGAAAGAATATGTTTTGACTAATACGTGATGATACAAATTTTGCCGGGAAACCGCCTACTAGTTGATAAATTATTCTATCCTATCTATCATTTTGATGATTCCAGAACCTTGCAGAACACACCAATATACATATATGCTAGATGATCAACCTCTTCTTATCGATTCCACGACGTTTCTTTCACAATGCAATCGCATGACCAGAACTGATCTATACCTTTAAACGAAATGATAATTACATGATTTATGTAGCGAAAGTCAGAGGAGAGGAAAACATATTCCAAAATGTACGTCGTTTTTGTGGTATAATCCCATCATCTACTCGTAACAGGCAGAATAATAATTCGATAGATCATGACAGCTTGATGATTTTCGATGTGTTCCAGGCTTTCCATTGGATCCTTCGCTGGTGGCATAGACATACTCTTCTAAATCCTGATCTACCACAATGCTGGGAACGAGGTACCCATCCCTGTCTTCCAGGCCTTCCTGTAAAGATCTTGCGGACATCATTTCCCTGCTACCGACCATAACATCTGTGGACGAGTAGTGGGCTTCAAGGCGTCTTGGATTGCTGGCACGTAGAACGATTGGGCTACCACCACCACCACCACCACCACCACCCTCGGCCCCGTCTGGAACAATATAGTTACTGTCATCTATGCAAATAACTGGGTTTGACCTGAGCGAAGACACGCCGATTCTGTTTATGGATAGACTCTCCTGCAAGGGGTCTTTTCTTTGTGCAGGATGGCGACCCGTTGGAATGGGACATGATTGTAATATGATGTCTGGGTTATCTGCTGCTCTTTGTGTGGGGACGGGATGCTTAGCCCTCCTGGTGATATTACGGTTCCAAATTCCTTTCATGGAGACATACATTTTCCGATTTTCGTTATTGTTGGCATTTTCAGTCGGGCTTGCAACTGCATTGCTACCGTTTTTTGACCGACAAAACTTGAGGTAGATGGCAAAGCAGAAAATGATAGCAAATAACACCAACACTAAAACAACCAACGTCAAAACTGTTGTCATCCCAAATGTTTTATCGAGGACAGGGTCAATTGTTTTATTCGAATAGTCTGACATTTGAGTCATGACGGTTAAGAGTGATTCCGACATCATCACCTTCTTGCGTTGGTCATCCGTTATCAATTGACATCTCACTA